AAACACCGCTATTTACAGTGTTTCGTGCCTTCCACGTTTTCTTGAAATTGCAAAAACAGTGTAAATACTAGCATTTGTTGCGATCAACACGCCAAAAATGCTGTAATTTACAGTGTTTTTTTGCTTTGCTTGCAAAAACACTGGTATTTGCAGTGTTTTATGCATCTCGAGTCCAAAAAGTATTAGTATTTACAGCATTTTCTGCGTTTTTGCATGGCTCCCGCAACAGAGGTTAAAACGCAAAAATGCTGTAATTTACAGCATTTTGTGACTTTCGAAAAGTTGAAAATCGTCCGAAAAATGTCTCAAAACGGCGCTTTTTTCCGATTTTAGGTACCCTCCAAACGGGGGGGGGGGAATGCTCTTGAAGACGCTGATGAGCGACCCGGATTCCGGCCAAAAAGCTCTCCCCCACCCTCCTGAAGGATTTTTGGTGTTTTTCGGGGCCCGGCGTCGGAGGGTCGGCGGCTTGGGGCGCGCCTCACCTTAGAGCTCTAGTCGCTCTGGGACGCTCGTAGGGCAAGCCACTCGTGTGGAGCCGGCGGAGCCGAATTTTTGGGCTGACGCCCCTCGTCGGCTCCGCCGGACCACTCGGCCCTCCATTTCATCGCAGTGTGGGCGTGAAAGTTACTGAATGAGGACCTGCTTCAGAAATATATTCCTTAGGTTTTTTGGAACGTATTTGTTGGAATAGACGATTTTTTGGGGAGTAAGTGAGTTCCCGAAAGCTCCTGCGAAGGGTTTTTCCTAAAGAACTGCTGCCGATTTCAACTTGTTACTTCGTGTAAAGGCGCCTCTGTGCAAAGACTTCTCTGTGTAAAAGCTTTTGTGTGTAAGAGTTTCTGTGTGTAAAAACCACTTTGTGTAAAGACTTTTTTGTGTAAAAGCTTCTCTGTGTGAAAGCACGTCTTTGTAAAGATTTCTCTGTGTGTAAAAGCTTCCGTGTATAAAAACTCTCTGTGTTACTTCTCTGTGTAAAAGTTTCTGTGTGTAAACGCGTCTGTGTGTTAAAGCTCTCTGTGTAAAGACTTCTTTGTGTAACAGCTTTTGTGTGTAAAAGCTCCAAGACGTTTGTGTGAAAAAGACTTCTCTGTGTAAAACCTTCTGTGTGTAAAAAGCTACTCTGTGTAAATGTGTAAAAGCCCCTGCGTGTGTAAAAGCTTGCTGTGTGTAAACGCTTTGGTGTGTAAACGCTCCTCTGTGTAAAGGCTTCTCTGTGTAAAAGCTTCTGTGTGCAAACGCGTCTGTGTGTAAAAAGCCCTCTGTGTAAAGACTTCTTCGTGTGTCTGCAAAAGCACCTTAGAGTAAAGACTTCTCTGTGTAAAACCTTCTGTATGTAAAAAGCTCCTTTGTGTAAAGACTTCTCTGTGTAAAAGCCCCTGTGTGTGTGGGTAAAAGCTTCTGTGCGTCTCCTCCCTCCAGCTTTCTTTCGGGTCACGCCGTCGTCCAGTTTCAATCTGCAACGTTGTTTCTTGTGGAAGAGTGCAAAATAATGCAAAGAACATGTGAAAGCATCGCACGTTTAAAAATTGAACATAAACAGCGCACAAAGTGCTGTAATTTACAGCATATTGCGCTGTCAGCTGGCAAGAACCCGCGTAAATACCACAGTTTTAGTCCCCCAAAGTGGCTAAAACACTGTTATTTACAGGGTTTCGTTCACGTCACGATCTTCGATTTTTTTGGAAACGCGTAAATACCAGCGTTTTTTGCGTTCATCAAGGCAAAACATCGGTTCAAAAAGTGCAAAAAATGCTGTAATTTACAGGGGTTTGGCGCCGTCACGGGCAAAAAACCGTGTAAATACCAACGTTTCAGCGCCCAAAAGTGGCTAAAACACCGCTATTTACAGTGCTTCGTGCCTTCCACGTTTTCTTGAAATTGCAAAAACAGTGTAAATACCAGCATTTTTTGCGATCAACTTGCCAAAAATGCTGTAATTTACGGTGTTTTTTTTGCTTTGCTTTCAAAAACACTGGTATTTGCAGTGTTTTGTGCATCTCCGGTCTAAAAAGTATTGGTATTTACAGCATTTTCTGCTTTTTTGCATGGCTCCCGCAAAAGACGTCAAAACGCAAAAATGCTGTAATTTACAGCATTTTGTGACTTTCGAAAAGCGAAAAATCGTCCGAAAAATGTGTCAAAACGGCGCTTTTTCCGATTTTAGGTACCCTCAAAACGGGGGGGGGGGAATGCTCTTGAAGACGCTTATGAGCGACCCGGATCCCGGCCAAAAAGCTCTCCCCCACCCTCCTGAAGGATTTTTGGTGTTTTTCGGGGCCCGGCGTCCGAGGGTCGGCGGTTGGGGGCGCGCCTCACCTTAGAGCTCTAGTCGCTCTGGGACGCTCGTAGGGCAAGCCACTCGTGGGGAGCCGGCGGAGCCGAATTAAGGGGCTACGCCCCCTGCCGCCGACCCCTGGGAGAGAGGGGGAGTTGACACATACGTCACTTCCGGAACCTAGAAGAAAACTATATGGGTACGAGTCAAAATACAAGGTATGGATCAAGGCGCCAAAGCTACACACGATCCATACCCCCCAATCCATACTTTGATCCATACCCTTGATCCATACCCCAGATCCATACCCCTTTCTCGTTGAAGAAAGACTGATGCTGGCCTTAACGATGCTTTTTATCCTAATATATACTGCTTCTGGTCGTCGTACTGCTACTCCCATCGCTACTACCGTTGCTTCTACTGCTGCCTCCACTGCCTCCGCTGCTGCTGCCGCCGCCACTACTAGTGATTATCCTCCCAGGAGCTGCTGCTACTGCTCCTGCTGGTCGTGCTCTCGCTGCTGGTGCTGGCTCATGTTCTCCGTGTGCTTCGGTTGTTGGACAAATGTAACTAGTTGACTAGCTACTCGCAATATTGCAAGTGCACCTTGGAGGCTTGTAAGACCGGTTCTACTTCCACTAGGTGCTTATTGTACTTCTAGTGGTGCTATGACTACAAGTCCTTCTGTTTCTACTTTGCCTGGCACGTGTAGAACTAAAAAAGCATGGTGTCCTGATCCATACCCCGATCCAGACCCGTTCCATGCCTGGTCCATATCCGAACCCAGTCACGCCACAACAAGTGCCAATATGAACGTTGCTTTCTGAACCTACAAGAAAGCTAGCTGTCTGACCTGTCTTCCAGCCGCCAAAGCTCACACACGGCGCGATTGCCATGCCAAAACAGCAGGGTCTTGAGGGACGGACCGGGCCTGCGGGCCACGGCCGCCACGACCTGTCTTCCAGCCGCCAAGGCTCACACAGGGCGCGCTCGCCACACCGAAACAGAAGGGCCCTGAGGGACGGATGGGGCCTGCGGGCCACGGCCCCCACCTGCCTAACGTCGCCCCCTGAACCCACAAGAAAAGCAGCCGTCTGACCTAAAACGGCGCCTCCGCCACAGCCAAACAGCAGGGCCCTGAAGGATGTACCGGGCCTGCAGGCCACCGCACTCAGTGCCTAACGTCGCTTTCTGCACCTACAAGAAAAGTAACTCTCTTTGCTGTCTTCCAGCCGCCAAGGCTCAAACACGGCGCGCTCGCCACACCGAAACAGCAAGGCCCTGAGGGACGGACCGGGCCTGCGGGCCACGGCCCCCACTGCCTAACGTTGCTTTCTGAACCTACAAGAAAGCAAGCTGCCTGACCTGTCTTCCAGCCGCCAAAGCTCATACACGGCGCGATTGCCACGCCAAAACAGCACGGTCCTGAGGGACGGACCGGGCCTGCGGGCCACGGCCGCCACGACCTGTCTTCCAGCCGCCAAGGCTCACACAGGGCGCGCTCGCCACCCCAAACAGCAGGGCCCCGAGGGACGGACGGGGCCTGCGGGCCACGGCCCCCACTGCCTAACGTTGCTTTCTGAACCTACAAGAAAAGTAGCTGTCTGACCTAAAACGGCGCCTCCGCCACAGCCAAACAGCAGGGCCCTGAAGGACGGACCGGGCGTGCGGGCCACGGCCGCCATGACCTGTCTTCCAGCCGCCAAGGCTCACACAGGGCGCGCTCGCCACACCGAAACAGCAGGGCCCTGAGGGACGGACGGGGCCTGCGGGCCACGGCCCCCACTGCCTAACGTTGCCTTCTGAACTGCCTAGAAACGAGCTCCAAACTTAGCTTGCCCGTGTCTTCTGAGCTGGCGTGCGTCCTGCACAGGTCCGGTCAAAGGACCCCTCCGCAGGGCCCAAACACCATGGCACTGAAGGACGGATCGGGCCCGCAGCCGGCAGCCCACGGTGCCTAACGTTGCTTTCTGAACTGCCTAGAAACTAGCTTCAAACCTTGCTTTTCCCTGCCTTCCTGCACTGCCAACTGCCACTTTGCCTGCGTCATCTTGCAGCTCAAACCTAGCTTTTCCCTGCGTTCCTGCACTGCCAACTGCCAACTTGCCTGCATTGTCTGACAGCTGGCTTTCGTGCGGCACAGCTCCGGTCAAGGGACCTCCTCGCAGGGCTAAAACACCATGGCAGTGAAGGACGGATTGGGCCCGCGGCCCGTAGCCCAGAGTGCCAAACATTACTTTCTGTCGCTCGTTTACTCTTGCTTCTGCATTCTTGCTTCTAACTTCTTGTTTCGTGCTTCTTTCGCTTGCTACGTTCGCTGAGACTGCCTCTCCTTTCTCGCTTCCTTTTTTGGGCTTCTTACTCTGCACCTGGCTTCCCTTTCTGTCCCCCCCTCGCTTGCCCCTCACTTGCACTGCACAACACTTGTTGCTTGTAATCTCTTCTCTGACGCGCTCCCCCTGCTGTCGGCAGGGGTCGGCGGATTACCTCCATTCTAAATGTCTCGCCGATTGGTGTGTTCACAGGCAGCCGACGTTTGTTGGAGTGTCACACTGTGAGACTTTGGGCTCACAGATTCTGGGCCCTTAAGAACAGAAAATCGTATGCAGTTTAGAAGGCAATATGCAGCAATGCTTGTGCAGGAAGTAGCAGCAAGGGTTCAGGGTATTTCTCGACTTTCTTTGTTCGATTTTTTCAGCAATTCACCTTTCTCCTAGGCTGCATGCGATTTGACGTGAATGGTACAGTGCCTGATGGCCTTTTCACGAGGCATTGATGGCATTTTCTATTGATTGCATGTCACTGCTCTACCAACTCCTCGCGGTGGCACTTTCTGATTTTGGATGATATTGGCACGACTGTGTTGGAACTGCTTTGAGGTCTACCAATAGCGGCTCGGCACAACCTTGCCCATGCTTTATGGAGCAGAGCGGACGCCTTTCAGTTTCAAAGCTTGTTGGTTGGACCTCCCATTGCGCGCGGCAAGGTAGCATCGCGCCGCGGGAGGGACTTTCCACTTTTTGGGCAAAGTGTCTTGTCTGATGCAGCAGCCCCTTTTTCGCCAGGCTCTTTCCATAGTGCCTGGCTGAAGTTGCAGCCGGCGTTCATGATGGCGTACCACAAGAAGGCTCGGGCTTTCCCGACAGCATCTGACAGCCCTTTCAGAAGCATCGTGGTATATTATCACATTTGTTTTTGGCGCTTTGGCACGGGCATTTCTGGCATTCTGTCTGACGTGTATTCTTACATTATGTCTTGCATTCTATCTGACATTTTCTTTTTGGCATTTCATCTGGCACAGAGTTGGGTAGGGCGAGCCGCAAAGACCTGGCAAACTCGCCATACTGCTCGGGTCCCGCGAACCCCAGAGAGCTGGCGAGCTTGCGCTAATCTATAAGCCAGCCATGACGTGATGGCAATGAAGGTAGTTGCGTGTGTGTGTGTCTGTGTCTGTGTCTGTGTCTGTGTGTGTACCGTCTGAATAGACGTTAAACTTCGTCCTTATATTATATGATATTATATTTTTATTTATGGCAGGGGGCAGAGGGATCTCCAGTTGTGGCCTCTGACACTGGAGATCAGGTAAACGTACCTGCCTTGTCCCGCCCTGGGCGCATTTAAGACGCAGCTGGGGGGGACATATAATATATTATATCGCTGTTGTTTTATACTGTCATTGTCTACTGTGATCTTACATATATATATATATATATATAATCTTCATCGTATATTAATTCGATTCCTGTCTAATCTGCATGTTACAGGATTCAGTTCCTGCCGGATCACTATAATGATCCATTCTTGTCTAGTGTGATTCCTATGGTGGCTCCGACATGGTGCCATAGGGCCAATTGAGGCAACCCCAGTTGGGGTCAATGTCGACTGAATTGACTTCCGAATTTACACTTTTGAATTAGTAATTCGTTTAAGTAATGTGCAACAGATGGCCTTACCGTTTTGTGCCTTTGACGAAGTCCCGCGGCTCCTGTGGTCCCAGGGATTCCTCGCCGACGCATTTCTTCATCTTTGAAGCTGTTCTGAACATTCAGAAACCTCCTTTTGTCGCAGCAACCTTTGCAGTTACATTACATGAGACAGAACGCAGGCAGGTACACCATCTTTCGGTGTGGTCTTCTTTCTTTTGATGGTTCTCTGGTGAGGCCAAACATATTGTGCACCTAATTCGCTGGAACTTGAAAGCCGTTTATGCCTATTGTGGCTGACCTGAGCACGGGCCTGGAGTGGCACAACGCACGACTTCTAGGTTTTAGGAGCTGAATCCTGGTTTTGTTTTTGTTTTTCACTAACTAGTTCCCCATTGGTCCCCTATCTCATGCTCTCTTCCCTCCCCAGGTAGGTTGGCTCCGTCGCGTGCTGAGGTTTTTTGTAGGTTTTCGCTGTGGCAGGTTGGTTCAGGCGCTTCCGTCTTCCCCCCCTCCGCTGGTCTTGGTCCGTGTCCGTCGACCCTCCGCTTTTTTCTTTTCCCTTGCCTTTTCAGGGTTCGCCCGCTCCGGGCTAAGTGTGTTGGTGTGTGTTTGCTCCTTCCCTCTTCTTTTGCGTTCCCCTCTTCGCGTCCTGGTTAAGTAACGTTCATCTCATTTTCACTCTCATCTCAATTTTCATCCCCCGTTCATCCTCATTTTCATCTCATTTTTACGCGCACCACCCTGCCGGAGGCAGGGTGTGTGTGTGTGTGTGTGTACCGTCTGAATAGACGTTAAACTTCGTCCTTATATTATATGATATTATATTTTTATTTATGGCAGGGGGCAGAGGGATCTCCAGTTGTGGCCTCTGCCAACGAAGCTCCACACTGGAGATCAGGTAAACGTACCTGCCTTGTCCCGCCCTGGGCGCATTTAAGACGCAGCTGCGGGGACATATAATATATTATATCGCTGTTTTTTTTACTGTCATTGTCTACTGTGATCTTACATATATATATAATCTTCATCGTATATTAATTCGATTCCTGTCTAATCTGCATGTTACAGGATTCAGTTCCTGCCGGATCACTATAATGATCCATTCTTGTCTAGTGTGTGTGTGTGTCTGTGTCTGTGTCTGTGTCTGTGTCTGTGTGTCCGTGTCTGTGTGTCTGTGTCTGCGTCTGCGTCTGTGTCTGTGTCTGTGCCTGTGCCTGTGTCTGTGCCTGTGCCTGTGCCTGTGTCTGTGTCTGTGTGTGTGTCTCTGTGTGTGTAACATCTAAATAGATGTAAAACTTTTCCTTTTTTCTTTTTCTTTCTTCTCTCCTTTTAATAAAGCAGGGGGCATGCGGCCATCATGCAAACGCATGCCAACGAAGCTATGCATGATGGTGAAAGCCGGGGCTGATCACCTTGGTGTACCTGCAAGAATTTCGGACATGGGATGTGGCGAACCCAAGAACCACCACGCCGTTTCCAAATAAGTTATTACACATGGTTTTACACGGTCGCCGCAATCTGATTTTGGATGACGATTTATTTGCCGGTTTTGGAGTCTGGTTTGGGCTACGTTGGATATTTTCGGAAGACCATCATTTGATTATATTTTATTCACAAAGTACAACCACGAGATCTACTTTAGGTCTAATTGTCTAGGCTGGTTGCACGTTAAAGGACTCAGTTCCTGATGGATCTCTTCAAAGATCCAATTTTGTCTAGTGTAATTTCCATGGTGACTCCGACATGGTGCCATGGAGCCACTTGAGGCAACCCCTTTGCGGGTGACTGCGGACGAACTTGACATCGGAATTGACACTTTTAAATTAGTAATTCGATGTAATTCGTTTAAGTAAAGCGAAACAGTTGGCCTTTCCATCCATCAGCCTTTTGAGAAGTCCTGCCGCTCCTATGGTCCCTTGTGATCCCTTGGAACGATCATCTTTTTGCGTTGCGACCGTGCTGAACAGCCAGAAACTTCCTTTCCACCGCAGCTTCAGTGTTTAAGATGACTCACCCACAACAGCAAAGGCAGGTCCATGCTTGCAGGTGTGGTTTCTTTCTCTTGATGGTGTCTGGTGAGGTTGAACATATTGTGCACCAAATTCTGTGGAATTCGTATAACTGTTTTTGCAGTTTGGCACGACTTGACTACGGTCCCGAAGGGGAGTAACGCACGACACTTGGTGTAGTTGGAACTGGGTCCTTTTTAGATTAATTGTTTTGGTTGTTTCACGCCCGTCACCAACTAGTCCCCATTCGGTCCCTAATTCTTCCCCTGTGCTTCTCCGTAATATGTCGTGGGGTTTAGGTGTGTGCTCTGTTTTTGTCAGGTGCGTTTCGCCGCGTAGGTTGGTTCTGGAGGTCCGTTCGTTCCCTTCCCCCCTGCGCTGTTCTGGCCTTTTGCCCGTCGTCTGTGCCCGCTTTTTCCTTCCTTTTGCCTTCCAGGGTTGACCCGGCTCCGGCCGGGTGTGTGTGTGTGTGCAACATCTAAATAGATGTAAAACTTTTCCTGTTTTCTTTTTCTTTTTTCTCTCCTTTTAATAAAGCAGGGGGCATGCGGCCATCATGCAAACGCATGCCAACGAAGCTATGCATGATGGTGGAAGCCGGGGCTGATCACCCTGGTGTACCTGCAAGAATTTCGGACGTGTGATGTGGCCAACCCAAGAACCACCACGCCGTTTCCAAATAATTTATTTTACATGGTTTTACACGGTCGCCGCAATCTGATTTTGGATGACGATCTATTTGCCGGTTTTGGAGTCTGGTTTTTTGGAGTCTGGTTTGGGCTACGTTGGATATTTTCGGAAGACTTACATTTTATACACAAAGTACAACCACGAGATCTACTTTAGGTCTAATTGTCTAGGCTGGTTGCACGTTAAAGGACTCAGTTCCTGATGGATCTCTTCAAAGATCCAATTTTGTCTTGTGTGTGTGTGTTGGTGTGTGTGTGTGTCTTTGCGGGCATGTGTATCGGCAGTATCGGGGATGTTTTGTTATAGAAATCTAGAAACCATCACCTGAAAATACTTTACTTCGTGTGATCCCTACCATGACATTTATAGATTTTCTTACTGGCAAATCTTCTGGCATTCTACCTGACATATCTTCTGGCATTCTATTTGGCAAATCTTCTGGCATTCTATCTGGCATATCTTCTGGCATTCTATCTGACATATCTTCTGGCATTCTATCTGGCATTCTATCTGGCATATCTCATGGCATTTTATCTGCAGGTTGAGGTCCAGCGGTGCACACTGAGCTGGGAAGGTCCCAGGTTGAGGTCCAGCGGTGCACACTGAGCTGGGAAGGTCCCAGGTTGAGGTCCAGCAGTGCGCACTGAGCTGGGAAGGTCCCAGGTTGAGGTCCTGCGGTGCACACTGAGCTGGGAAGTTGGCAAAGAGCTTGGCGAAGAGAGTTGGCAAAGAGCTTGGCGAAGAGTTGGCAAGGCGGAAGTGGAGGTGGAAGTTGATGCAGACATGGTCGAGGAGAAACTAGAGGAGGAGGCGGAGGAGGAGGAGAAGGAGGAGGAGAAGGAGGACAGCTAGCCGAGGAGGAGAAGAACAATTCTGATAAAATCTAACAACCCTCACCTGGCAGGTGGGGAAAAAACATTGGTTTGCCCAAACCTTGACAGTGCCATGGTGCCATGGCCATGACAAGCCTTCAAGGCGGCCATGCCCAGGCGGTTTTGGTCATTGGCCTTGCCAGCCAAGATTATCAAAACTTTCGATCGCTGCTGGGCTCTGAAGCTGAAGCTCAGCAGCTTTTGCGCCCAGGGGAGGCGTGAAGCGCGTGCAGGGTGGACATGCCACTCGTGGGACACCGAAATGCCTTGATGACACATTGTAATTATTTGCAATTTTGCAATGTGTTTAGGGATTCGGTTGGCTCTTTGTAGCAACTGAATGAAATTTCTGAAATGATATGAAATGCCATGAATTCAATATTTTTGCGCTCCGTTTAATCTTTGTGTTTGACCATATTTTGCATGTTCACATTGGTTTTGGCGTTGTTTTTCGTGGGGCTTCTAGTCCAGAGACCCCTGGTTGTAGGAGCAATGTGCATGTGCAGGCAGCTGTCATTTTCACAAACCGGGGTACCGGGTTTGGCAAAATCCAGTTTTGGATTTGACATGGTGTTCCAGTTGATTGAACTTCTTGGGAACATTGTGTCCATGTCCTTCCGCTTTAGCTGCAGGTGTTTGAACCTGTCACTTGGCTACTTCATGGGGATCCTTGGAGGCCTTATAATTTTTGGTTGCAAAAAGCGAGGATTTCTGCAACGTTGGAGATGCGGTCCTCTTGGAATGCCACTGAAGAATCATGAAGAAACAAACAGGTTTCATTTACACAGTTTCAGTCCATTGCAAGGTTTCTATTTATACTGCATCATACTGCATCTATTTTTGGAAGGTTCACACATGAATTTCTGGAAACATTGAAGTTCGAATTTGCTCTTGGCATTGACAAAATGTGCTTGGACATGAAAAAATGCTGAGGACATAAAAACTGGAAAACCGAGTCGCTACTGTAAGTAAGAACGTCCATAGAGAATTTAGCAACGCCAGGCGTGGGCCGAGGAAGTGAGTGGAACGCAGTACTCCCACTGTAGTAGTTTCTTCCATTTTGCGACAAGAGGTCGCATTTGGCAAGGATGGAACCAGGTGTTTGCAGTGCCAGGCCCCGGATCAACCCTTTTCAAACATGGTATTTTTAATCTATTCTTTATATTTTTTGACTCAAGTCAAAGGAAAATTTTGCCGGTTCGTTCCAGGGCCATTTGTTGAGAATGTTGATGCATACAGAAGATAACTTCGGCTTACGGCAAATCACTTGTCTAATCAAAACACATCATGTATTATCCCAGTACTGTAGTCCATGTCTATGGCTCCTACCTTGCTTGTGGCGGTAATCCATGCCAATCGCTTGTGGCGGTAAAAACGGCTATTTTTTCACTGCCGGAAGTGATATTTTTCACTGCCGCAGGTGATGTTCGTTTTTGTTCTTGCGTGGCAGGTGCAGCATTTCAAGGCCTTCTCGCTTGTAGCGGTACTCACGCGTGTCTGTTTTTAATCGCTTGTGGCGGTAAAAAATCTATCGCTTGTGGCGGTATGTGGGTGTCCTTGATGCCAGGGTACACAAAACCAACCGCTTGTGGCAGTACGCTGCTGCGACTGATGCATTCTCGGATGCAGATTCTATGAGGAAGGAAGCGACATTGTGCACGTGCCAAGCTTTGATGCTTTTCACGCGATTTTGCGGCTGTTGTTGCAAACATGACTTCTGTTGTGCCGTGGGCTTGCTGCTCTTGCACGTACTGTGGCTCAGATTCGGATGGTGCACGTGTGCTTGTGCATTAAAAAGGCCAGACCCTGCTACGCAGCCATGCGGCTTCTTAGGAGAAACTGCTGTTAGACTTGCGTGCGTTAGTTATGTTATACGGAGACGTCGCTGCTATAACTGATTTGTGGTTTCTGCTGGTGACGGTTGCTGTAATGTGGCCGGCGCAGCAGGGCAATGTTTGATTTCGTACGGTGCTACATGTCGGTGAAAAGGGATTGCATGTGTCCCTATAATCAAGTTAAGCAACGGGTGTGGCTGGTAGATCCTACCCTTTTCTTCCCTAGCCCCACCCCACCCCCAAGGTTGAAGTGGGATGGTAAGTCGCAGGAAGTCGAGTAGCGGTTGTGTCCCTATAATGAAGTTAAGCAACGGGTGTGGCTGGTAGATCCTACCCTTTTCTTCCCTAGCCCCACCCCACCCCCAAGGTTGAAGTGGGATGGTAAGTCGCAGGAAGTCGAGTAGCGGTTGTGTCCCTATAATGAAGTTAAGCAACGGGTGTGGCTGGTAGATCCTACCCTTTTCTTCCCTAGCCCCACCCCACCCCCAAGGTTGAAGTGTGATGGTAAGTCGCAGGAAGTCGAGTAGCGGTTGTGTCCCTATAATGAAGTTAAGCAACGGGTGTGGCTGGTAGATCCTACCCTTTTCTTCCCTAGCCCCACCCCACCCCCCAAGGTTGAAGTGGGATGGGAAGCCTCAGCAAGTCGAGTAGCGGTTGTGTCCCTATCATGAAGTTAAGCAACGGGTGTGGCTGGTAGATCCTACCCTTTTCTTCGCGAGCCCCACCCCACCTCCAAGGTTGAAGCAGGATGGTAAGCCTGAGGCAGTCGAGCAGCGGTTGTGTCCCTATAATGAAGTTAAGCAGCGGGTGTGGCTGGTAGATCCTACCCTTTTCTTCCCTAGCCCCACCCCACCCCCCAAGGTTGAAGTGGGATGGTAAGTCTCAGGAAGTGGAGTAGCGGTTGTGTCCCTATAATGAAGTTAAGCAACGGGTGTGGCTGGTAGATCCTACCCTTTTCTTCCCTAGCCCCACCCCACCCCCGGTTGAAGTGGGATGGTAAGCGCAGGAAGTGAGTAGCGGTTGTGTCCCTATAATGAAGTTAAGCAACGGGTGTGGCTCCCTAGCCCCACCCCACCCCCAAGGTTGAAGTGTGATGGTAAGTCGCAGGAAGTCGAGTAGCGGTTGTGTCCCTATAATGAAGTTAAGCAACGGGTGTGGCTGGTAGATCCTACCCTTTTCTTCCCTAGCCCCACCCCACCCCCCAAGGTTGAAGTGGGATGGGAAGCCTCAGCAAGTCGAGTAGCGGTTGTGTCCCTATCATGAAGTTAAGCAACGGGTGTGGCTGGTAGATCCTACCCTTTTCTTCGCGAGCCCCACCCCACCTCCAAGGTTGAAGCAGGATGGTAAGCCTGAGGCAGTCGAGCAGCGGTTGTGTCCCTATAATGAAGTTAAGCAACGGGTGTGGCTGGTAGATCCTACCCTTTTCTTCCCTAGCCCCACCCTACCCCCCAAGGTTGAAGTAGGATGGTAAGTCGCAGGAAGTCGAGTAGCGGTTGTGTCCCTATAATGAAGTTAAGCAACGGGTGTGGCTGGTAGATCCTACCCTTTTCTTCCCTAGCCCCACCCCACCTTCAAGGTTGAAGTGTGATGGTAAGTCGCAGGAAGTCGAGTAGCGGTTGTGTCCCTATAATGAAGTTAAGCAACGGGTATGGCTGGTAGATCCTACCCTTTGCTTCCCTAGCCCCACCCTACCCCCCAAGGTTGAAGTAGGATGGTAAGCCTGAGGAAGTCGAGTAGCGGTTGTGTCCCTATAATGAAGTCAAGCAACGGGTATGGCTGGTAGATCCTACCCTTTGCTTCCCTAGCCCCACCCTACCCCCCAAGTGATTGGTTTTAAAGATTCTTACTGCTGCAGGTGATTTTTTCGTATAAGTTTTTACTGCCGCCAGTGATTTTTGGAATACTGCCGCAAGTGATTTGTGTTTACTGCCGCCAGTGATGGGTTACCCATGTCTATAAGGACATGTTTGAAAGTTCCTCCCAAAAATGTGTGGCGAAACATTGCTATCGTAGTTCAATATTTTAAGTCACTGCAATAACCACGAACAACCAGGCCGACAGTCAATCTGATCGCAGCCGTAGCTGTCCGCTTTGCACAAAGGGTGCCAAGTCGCCATATATGAGACTTGCTAAGATGTATGCAAGGCACATGATGGCACTATGTGTGTTTCTCTTAAAGATTTGTTCGGATGTGAGTCTAAAGAGTGCGAACCAGACTCCTGTGATCTCAGAATTCAGCATTGACCTGTTGCGCCGAAACTTTCCGAACCACTTTCATCGCCTTAAATCAGAAACAATCCCAACGGATCCCAAGGGTTTGTCCTAGAGTCTTCCATGGTTCACAGAATCCACCAGCGCAAAATAGTTGGTAGCTACGATTCGATGGAGGTCATGCTGTCCATAGCAACAGATGAATTTCCTCTGACATCACGGATGGATTTTTCAAAAGGCAATCGATGAAGACGCAGTTCATGCAGTGTCAGGGGTTGCTTTGCTTTGGCCTCAGTGGTTCGTACAGACACAGTGGGAAGGATTGCTCACAGTTGAGGGGTCGCAGCCACACTTTGCCAATCTCATGAGGCAAAGTTGAATCTGTATTATGATCGTAAAGCTTGGGCAGCATGTTCGGATGTTTGCAGATTCAGGAGTTGTGCCAAATCTATCCACATGATTCTACATGTTTGTTACTCCCCTGCAACGTCCCTTTACATGTTCATGGAACCGCAGTCACATGTAGCCGCGAAGCAGAAGGTGTCATGTATACCTTGCTGCAGACGTGAAACAAGATCGGATCCGAGACCATTAGCAAAACTGCCCTCTGAAAACAAACGCAGCGAAGTGCTTTTGTCAAATGGCAGGGTCAAACATGGCTCGCACATTGGACTAGTTCATTTGTTTGGATGAAATACGAACCCTGTCAGTGTGATCAATGTAGAGTAGTACGGAGACGGCTGGAAGAGGCAGGGATTTGGGAGAGTATTGTGGCCTCAGCTAGGTCCTGCTTTGCGCATCCACATCCCAGAGCCTGCTACTGAGCTGGTGTGGTTTGAGAGGTGACTCTACACAGAGTTGCAGAAGTTCAATAAGCCTAAACCTACACCTGGGATGCTCTTGGGAAGTAACAGCAAATAGAGATGGGCCTGTCTAGGTTCTGTTGCAGAGTTTCAGTGCCTATATTGTTTGTCCAACGCTCCAAGATGCACATTATCAGATTCCTGCTTCATTCTTCCCTGTGCAGTAGATCGCTTGAAGATGTTTGAGGTATCCACAATGACAAACGAGAGAATGGAAAGAAGAAACTGTCAAAGAAGCATGCTTGGAAATTTGGCATACTTGGGGCTGGCACAGTTGTACCCTTTTGCCCGCTGTTTAGTCAGGTGCGTTGGGCAGCTTTGGAGGCCTGCAATCCTTTTGTCACTGTGTTGCATGGCTTGTCGCAGTTGTGAACCTGAGTTCTTAAAATCGGGAACCGAATTGATAATTGCAAGATTGATTTCGTCCCCAAGAAGTTAGCAAAAAGACGACAATATGCAACTTGGATGATCTTGGAATGATGACTTGGGCCCTCCTATCCTATTTCAGGAAACCTCCATTTGCATCCATTTGCTGCAGTGGTTCATTTGCAGAGCTCGGTAGGTCTGGGCACGCTTGCTGCAGCAGATGGCTGCTCCCTTGGATATTTTTGATCAGGCAGCGCAAAGCTTTGATCCCCTGAGAGGATTCCTGATTCTGGTGGAGATGGCTAATCATGCCTTTTCTATCGCTTTAGCGTACGATCCCTTAATATACACTTTATATCACTTTATAGTAAACTTGATTTATTATAGCAAGGCCAGAGAAAAGGATGAACTGAAGTTGTTGCTGACTTTTTCTGGGCTCACATGAAATCTATGTGAATCTGTCTCTTGACAGATCGTATGCTTAGTTTGGTTCCCTTGGCTTCGACACACTACCTCCATTCATTAAAATGTCGTTTGAAAATGGACGAACATGTTGTGCCCAAAATCTCGGGCCTTATCATCCTTTTTCATCCTTTTTCCATATTTGTTTCCCATGAAAATTGGCATGGGAAGGGGTATCCCCCATTTTGAAGATCTGCCGCCATGCCGTTTGTTGGAAACCTCGGTGCCTGCAGTTGCAAAAGATGTTCGATCATAACTATTGGTTATATATATAATATACATATAGTCAATACACGTTTTGTGAGTGGATGTGTACATATCATAATATTATGATATATTATGATTAACACAATTGAGATTATATGATATTACTATCATATTACCTACAATTATGTTTGCTGTCTATACATTGAGCTGGCCGAATAGCCACGTAATCATGAAGCAATATGAAGCAATTTCAGTTCCAAATGACTGTGCCACCAGGGGATAGATGCTTTGCTCCATACTGCAGTGGATGCCTACACCCGAGTGCGCCAGCGAGGTGGGGCTAGACAAAAACGCATAGGTTCGAAACTAGGGGCCTAGTATTTTTGTTTTTTCTTGGGAAAATCCATTTACTTACCACTACCTACATGTACCAAAGTTCGTGCGAGAGAAAACCTGGAGATTTCATGCGCTGCATTGCTTTTCATGCAGTGGCATTCGACCGTTTTTTTCCATCCCATGGGGTTGCGACGACTCAGCACCGTGGTAGACTCAGCCCTCAACAGGCTTCCATGTGCACGCAATCTGTGTGCAGTGTTTCTAGGTCAGAAACTAAGTTGCTTTGTCTAAAAATGAGGCATTCCCCAGATCTAATGGTTGCTCATCATTGCCCCATCAGAATGCTACATATTTGTAGTAAATCCTTGATGACGATTTTGGACAAGACTCAGATACCCCATTTTGTTGGTGATATATTCTCTATATGATGTCTCAATAAGATATCCCCATTGTGATTAGTTTTGTCATGCTTTACAACCATATTTCCGCAGTATACCACCATCTTACTGCAATTGGCTACTACATCACCATCATATCTCCAGCTCATGTCTGTAGGTTTAAGATCTGCACACTTAGCCCCGGGTTAAAATCAAAACGCTGTCTAATGGCGGGATTGCTATTTTACTAGCATATGATCACTGTTTTAGGGTAACCCGTCAATTAATCAACCAGAGTTTATCAATCAAAGTAATCGTACAAATGGGGGTTTCCATAAATGGGGGTAATTACCCCAAAATGGATGGTTTGTAATGGAAAATCCTACTAAAATGCGTGATTTGGGGGTACCCATGGGTACCCCTACTTTAGGAAACCCCCAAATTAGTCCATGGTTTATGAATCAACCAGAGTTTACAATTAGCCCTGATGTTTGGCCCGCAGGTCTCTTAGTACTCCTGCAGCTCTCACGGGCCAATGCTCCGATGGTGCGAAAATACCCCGATGCAATCACAAGGCTGCAGATGGAATCCAAGGGGCTTCGAATGCACTACTTCTTGTATCTGCTTGTTATAATATATATATATATACATATGTGTATCACTATATAACATATATATATATATATACATATAGTTCAAACATACACAAATAATATTGGATGTCTTTTTATGCGGCGACCGTATTCTGACTGAATCAGGCAGATTTCGTGAGCTCCTACCGTGCAAAGAAATAAGAAATGGCACAGTGTTTTTTCCGGTGTTGGGGGTCTTGGTTAACAAGTGCCTTCTGTCAAGGCTTTTGCTTCATTTGGCTCGAAGCTCAGGATTCACTGCATTTCACTGCAGTTTGGTTGGTTGAAGAACAATACCAAAACTTGTCGTGGGTTCAGGTTCGCTCTAGGTGTGCGCAAAGTTGATTTGATGAGAATGTAATATGCAGGACGGTACAGGGCGTGCTGCAGTGCAGAAAACTTCATGGCAGGAGTTTGTTGTTAAGGGTCAAAATCCCCTGATATTTTCAAAGCTTTCGTTTCTGGTTCGATGCATAAACATTAATGGCTTCAAAACCAATATTTTCCTAACTATTGTACTTGACACCATGTTATATTTAGCACCAATTAACAATTTAGCAGTTATATTTTCCTATAGGTCCTATAAGCATGAGCCGCCGTGTCACAAATTCTTGTCACAGATAGTATCTCCCTCAGAGGCGCAGTCCAATGACCCCGATGCGCAGCAGGCAGCAACTGCGGGTCTTTTGAGGATTTGTGGTGCTGTGCACGAATATATGCACTTTACGTATATATATATATATACGTATATATATATACATTATATATATATATTATATCATGGGGGAAGATGGGGCAGTCGAAAAATGCTAATCTGAGCGCAGACTCGTATGATAGGCTTTAAACTTTACAGGCGAACTCTCATGTGTTTGTTTGTGACCTGCTTGTTAATGATAGGTAGGACTACCAGTTTTGAAATTTCCAATCTGTCCTCAAAGACCTTTGATTAGGCAGGTGCTGAGATTGCCGAACTCCTGAAGCTGAGTTCAGGACCTTTGCAAGGCAGCTGATGTTCTGGAACTTTCTGTCGGCTTCTTTTTTGAAGCACCCAGCACTGCACTGCAGCAAGCAGCCGAAGCATTGTTTGAGCATGTTAGAGCCCGGGTTCAACGTGCAGGTACGTTCTCATCTCAGACTGTGAACCAGGCCGGGAAGCTTACCTCAAGCACATTGCAGAGGGAGAACGTTGATGGCTATCTGGGTTTGTCTGGCAATGGGCAATTGAGTACCTTGAAAAATTTATGGTTGATCATCGTATCGCGCTCTTTCTATGGCCATTGACAGCTTCATGTCCCAGAAAAAAATGGTAAAATGGGGGTTTCAGGGCGTATATGTTTGTATGTTGCTTGTTATGATTTTATGTTGTTGTTCAATGTGTGTTCCTTGGTTTTGATGATTTACTGGGACATTGTTAGGGGTGGTTTAGGGTCTTAACTTTCACTGCCAATGTTTGGATTGAATGGGGGTAGGATTTGTTTAGGCTGTTGGGGTTTTATGTTTGGATTGAGATTTCATATTCCTAACATTCCAGTTTCATCATCTCCATTTCTCACAACTTTTGGTTGTTCCTTTCCCTTCAGTTTGGTTTGATGCTTGATGCTTTCCTCGTGCCTTTTGACTTGATATTTGTTTATTTTGCTTCCACACACGGGACATTCAGTTTTCAATTCATTAGTGTTTTTCTTTTCCTCTGTTGTTTGTTCCTTTTTTCTTTGATGATACTGTATGGCATACTGTCTTAATTTGTCCCTGTTTTTCTCCCTGTATCTTTGCTTTGCTTCTAAACATAATCTACATTGCCTACATTCATCTCTGTAATAGTTTAACGGTTGAAAGACTTTACATTTAGAACACTGCTTTTTGTCAGTCATTATACCTCTACAAGTTTAAGGGGTGATGTCTTTAAGGGGTTTTTAGGGTGGATGAGTTCATAATATATTTTATGGATATATTATGAATTAATCATTTATGCTTTCCAGTTGGGCAGTTGGGCATATTCCATCAAAAGGCAAACGTTCCCAAATTGCAGAAACCGTATTCCTGCACAAACAGTTCTTGACTTCTTCAAGCAAAGGTTCTTGATGTTGCGGTGTATGATGGTGTATGTTCAAAAAATTGATTGCAGACTGCGCGTTCGTGAAAGATTGGAGGGGAAATGAGGAGAGCAATTGTTGTAGCGGTTTCTTGTGGGAGCGGGTTCTCTGTTCAATTCTCGATGTTTCCTGATGCTCTTGCCTGCCCACTTCGTTCTCAAGTCGGGATGCCCAGATTGTCAGTTGTGATTTTCTTTCTTCTAGAGTCTGCACTGTCATTCAGAAACCCAGAGACTTTGTGTGAAGCATTGCTTGGCACATGCGCAATCACCAGGCAACGCTTTCTGTCGCCCATTTGGCACAAGCTTTCTGTCGCCCATTTGCCCAAATTTCAGGCAAGGATGTATTCGACATTTTTGGGGTCTAATTGCCAAATATGGCAATTCCAACTGCCATAGTCGGAAATCTCAATTTTCAGGCGTGGAAATCCCTATCATCTCCCAAAGCCGTGTCATTTTGCTTGGATTTCCAGACATCGCACAGGTCTGGGTTGCTCCATGACAAACTTTCATTGCCGAGGGTTGGAAAAATTATGTTTTCAGTTCAGCGGACTTGTTTTTTGAGTAGGCTTTCCCATCCACACCTTGTCGCCCCGACAACATTTTCTAGTTTTCCACCGCCACCGCATTGAGGTTAAGAAGACATCACTGAAATGAACTTCGTGAAGGTCATTCCCAGCGGGTTTCAAACCCTAACTTTTGAGAGTAATTGAAAATTGGTGGGATGGAATAGGAAAGTGGAAAGCATAAAAGATTAATTCATAATATCTTAACAAAATATATTATGAAGTAATTACCAACACAAACACAAAACCCCAACAGTCTAAGTCTAAACAATTATTCCCCTCATCTTAAACCAAACCATCAAGTGAAAATTAAGACCCTAAACCACCCCTAACAATGTCCCAGTAAATCATCAAAACCAAGGAACACACATTGAACAACAACATAAAACCATAACACGCAACATACAAACATATACCCCCTGAAACCCCCATTTTACCATTTTTTCCCAGTGTTCACAGCAACAGGTCTCCCAACACGGCGAGGCGAGATTGACGGGACATTTCAGTTTGCAAAAATTGTGGCAAAGGGCTCACAACTTTCTGTGAAAATTTGACCTTGTCTGCGAGGCTATTGAATGGCCTTTAGATTGGAAACAAAATTAGCGTCAAAAATAGTAACCTGATGGAAAAAATAACTATAGAAAAAGAATATAATATCTATATTTGAACATACCAATTAGTTAATATTTCTACTATAAAAAGGGAAAAGATGTACCTGCTACAAAGGTGCTGCTTGATAGGAATTAGGTACAAAAAAGCGATGCTGAATTTGCACTTTCTAGCCTAGATTATGTACCGTTTGTTACAGAGATATTTTATTTATTGGAAATAATTCCCATAAAAATCGAAAATCTGGAATTATATATTTTAATAATTTTTGATATTGGAATATATTTTAAATTATTAAATATTTTATAGGGTTTTATTTCGGAAAATTTTTGAATTTTAAAATATATTGAATTAAATGATTTTGATTGGACATTTTAGCAAATTAATTATATATAATATAAATTATTGAATTATATCGCGGAATATATATATATATATTCTTATATATTCTTATTTGATGTATTATTTGAATTATAAAATATATTTTATATTTTATATAAAATATTAGTTTTAAAATATAATTAATTTATATTATTTAATAAAATATTTTTAAATAAATATATATTATATATATAATTTAAAATATATATATGTATTTATAAAAAATATATATATATATAATTATATAATATTAT